CCGGGAGGCGGAGGACTACCTGAGCAGCCTCCTGGCGGGGTGCCTGCGGGGCGCCGAGGACTCCCCCTCCGGCGAGGAGGAGGACGACCCCGACCTCCTCCCGGACCTGTCCCCCGACGAGGCCTCCTACAGCCTCCAGGACGACCCTCCCTCCCCCTCGGACGGCAGCCTGTCGCTGGATGACCTGGCGAGAAGGATCGAGGTCGCGGAGGTGAGCGCTCGCCCCGGGCTGGGAGAGGGAGATGGGAGTGGGTGTGCCGCGCACTGCACTGTGCGCACTGCGGCCCCTTTGTAAGGCCCCCTGGGCTCGGCATGCGGGGGTCCCGGTCTCGGAAACGGCTCCCTGCGCGGAGTGTCGCTTGTTTTGTCGGGTGTTTGTGCTCCCGGAGGTACTCGCACCGGGGGCACCGCTGTTGTGCTCCTGCGGCTCATCCGCAGGCCGAGGAGGGTGGTGCAGAGATGAGTCACTTCCGTAGAAGGAGGTCTCGTTTTTCTTCTCCATCTCAGATGGAATAGAATGCACTCTCTGTTCCTTCCTCATACTGATGTGTCTTTAATTCTCTGAAACAGTGTAACAGGAAGGAAACGGTCTACGTGCAGTGAGACTAGGAGATGCTGGGTGGGCTTTTAAGCCTTAACTTGGATGCTGAGTGTTCTCTTTCGCACGGTATTGATTTACAAGTTCAAGGTTTGCACAAACGGTACTTGTACTTGACAAAGACAATTATTATAAATAACGGAAAGTGTTAAACTTCCTCTAATCATTAATGAGTCTAATCGAAACCAAAAAAAGAAAAAGAAAAAGAGGAAAAGGAAGAGGGGACAGGGATCAAGATGCCATTCTCCTTTCTTTATTTTAAAATTCAGGAAAAAGAAAAGATCTTCCTAAGGCTCTTCGTGTGTAGCAACGAAAATAATTTTATGGTTGGGGGTCACCACAACATGAGGAACTGTATTAACCCCTTCCCCTGCAGAAACGTGTATACTCGTTTTCACAAAATGTTCTTTTTCAGTCGTCGACGAGTATACTAAGAAAATATGGTAAAAAAAATATGGTTTATAGGAAGACGAGTTACAAACTGTTTTCATAACCAGCATCAAAAATACTATATAGAACCAAAATAAAAAAATTAGTCTGAAAAAGAAACGTTTTTAACAAAAAAATTGTTGGGGAAGGGGTTCTGAAAGAGGGCAAAATATGTTCCCCACCTTCCGTCTAAATAGACAACATTTATTTAGGTATCTCAAATCTACCTGTTTCACAGACACAAAATAGGGAAGACCTTCTGTTGGAGAGAAAGATGACAGCCCAGAGCTGCTGTTGGTTTTGTCTTAAGGAAGCCATCGAAATAGGGTCACTTCTGTAGAGTATAGGTCACTGGGGTCAGGGAAGTTAAGTGGCCTTAAGACTAGTCACCGTGAGACGCCCTAAGGTGGGGGCTGGGACTAGCAGTAGAGTTCATGAAATCGTGTGGGTGCCTGTTCTGTGGATCTCAGACAAAGGAAGGTCTTAGGCACAGTCCTCCTGGCTGTCCTGCCCCGGGGGCGGGGTCCGGCTCCCTGACAGCAGGAAAGGCGGTCCTCCGGTAACAGGGAGGGTTCACGGGAGACAGTAGACCCGGGACTTACGTGAGTGTCCACAGCACCCCAGGTGTAACCCACAGACTGTCTTCCCCGTGCAGAAGCCTCCTCTTGGCCTGTCTCTCTCAGCCGCCCTCTACCTGCTCTGGCTCACGGGTGCTCCTCTGGGTTGGCATTCTCTGGCCCAGCTCCTTTTCTTTTCCACTTTAACCTTCTGTTCATTTACATCTTTCCTGTCTCTTCCTGGACTTGTGCAGCAGCTGCCTCAACTGGCCCATACTCCTGTCATCTTCTCCCCGCCATGGTCTTCTGTTAGCTCTGTGTAAACCTGGGGTCTCCAGCTGATGCCCCCAGGGGCCTGGCAGGCAATAAACATGAATGAAACGACTTAGTTTTATCGTGAAAAGGAGAAGTTTCCTCGCCTTGTCTAGCAGTATCTGGCTTCATACAACACTGCAGATGAAGCAGCACCCCCGAGAATCCCGGCCTCACACACACTGTCAGTTTAAACTTCCTCTCTACACTATTGTTTGCCTTGTCAGTCTCTTCCCTCAACACCCTTCCGCTGCAGGATAAAGGCTGTACTACACGGCTCGGTATTCAGACGTGGTCATCGGGCCCCCTCTGCCTCTCCAGCATCTCCTCCCGCTCCTCTGTCCTCAGCCTGGACTGGAGTCAGGGGGCCTCCTCGCAGCGTCCCAGGTGCACCTGGCGTGCTGTCACCTCTGACCTTTACCTTCTATGTCGCTCCAGGATGTGAACTCCTTCCTTTCATACATTTACTTCCTCCCAATGCTCACGATCTAGGTCGCGCCTTTTCAGCATGTGGAGGGCCAAGCGCAGTGCGGCTCACGATCAGTTCTGAGTCAATGCTAACGGCTGCCATCATTCCCTGGTCACTGAAGTCCATAATGTCTATTCTCTTCACACTGCGCCTCTGAACTTCAGCCGAGGGAGTGGCTTCAGCACCATTCCTCCTAAAGTCCTAGCTGTAACCCTTTCTTTCTTTTTTAAAATATATTTTATTGATTTTTTACAGAGAGGAAGGGAGAGGGATAGAGAGCTAGAAACATCGATGAAAGAGAAACATCCATCAGTTGCCTCCTGCACACTCCCTACTGGGGATGTGCCCGCAACCAAGGTACATGTCCCTGACCGGAATCGAACCTGGGACCCTTGAGTCTGCAGCCTGACGCTCTATCCACTGAGCCAAACCGGTCAGGGCTGTAACCTTTTCTTGTTGTTATAGGACACACATGCGCACGCGTGTGCATGCGCACGCACACACACAGAGTCTGCACTAAATTGCAGAAGGGTAGGATCCTGTTGAATACTTTTTTGTGTTCTCAGCAAAGCGTACTTTACAGACTAAATAACAGCCACCTCTACACAGTAAGACTTTTTTTTTTTAATCTTTTACTGAGTTCACTTTGAAAAATAAATAACTTGAAGGGGGAAAGCTATTCGTCTGTATGTAAATTGCTTGTCTATGTATGTATTCATTTACACAGAGTATTTATGGAGCACCTACTACCTCTGCCTCGTCCTCTTCCCCTTTGGTAACCACCATACTGGTTTCTCCTTCAGTGAGTTTTTGTTTACTCTGTTCATTCCTTTGTTGCTTTCTGTGTATAACCCACAGATGAGCTAAATAATGATTCTTGGCCTTTTATGTCACAAAAGAAATACTGCCATCTGTGACAACATGGAGGCATCTTGGGAGTGTGTATCATGCTGAGCAGTAGGTCAGACAGAATAAGCAAAGTTCTAATCGTCATTAAAAGTAAGATCTTCTTCACATTAGGAAGATGGCAGGAGGTTTCATCTTGAGTTTGGTTCAAACTCTGCCAGTCGCTGCTGCAACAAGTTGAAGCATGTCTTCTAGGCTCTCTCAGCTTGGCTTCTTCACCTGCAGAGGGAGCTGCTAATGCTGTATTAGAGTCATAAAGATTAAATGTGACATATTATATAAATGCCTTTATATGATATTTAGTTTCACTAAATTATAGGTTAATTTTTATTTTTATTGATTTTACAGAGAAAGGTAGAGGGAGAGAGAGGGAGAAACATCGATGATGAGAGAGAATCATTGATCAGCTGCCTCCTGCACGCCTCACACTGGGGATAGAACCGGCAACCTGAGCATGTGCCCTTGACCGGAATCGAACCTAGGACCCTTCAGTCTGCAGGCCGACGCTCTATCCATTGAGCCAAACCAGCTAAGGCTACAGCCCATTTCTAAAGGAGCAGGGAGAGACCTCACAGGTTCCCTCAGTGCAGAATAATAGTGGTAAACTTCACATGTGCTCCTGCAGTGAGATTACTGGCACTGAGGCTAATGTTCGTAATGGGCTAATATGACTTAGGAATGTTAATTCTCGAGTTAGTCAGAAGCCAAACATGTGTTCGTGTTCAAAATTTACCAGCCTTGAGGTGCTGGTCTGAATACCTCATTAAAAGGATATTATTTGGCATCTACTTTCTTCAATTTTGTGAGGAGGCAGTTCTAACACCAAGATCTCTGAATGTTTACTTTGTCACAATAGGATTTACTGTACCCATAGAATTGCAAGATAATTTTGTTTTTACAACATTTTCGTTCTTTAAATGCTATTTAAGATGATCATTGATGTTTGAGGGGAAGTGCAGAAGAACTATTTATTAGCAAATGTAGAGGACGAAGCCGGAAGGATGTGTTGTTATTGTTGAATTCTGCATTTATTCATAGAGTACCAGCAGTGACAATTACATTAATTACAGCTTGCACATGCTTTTAGTTCAGAATGGAAGGAAGGGCTTGGTATATTTTGTTTGGGTGGCAAAGAAATTTGGTGATTCAAGCGGAAATCCAAATTTAGTTTATAAAGGTTTATTTTGTTGAGATTTAAAAATTCTTAACCTTTTATATCAACATTATGGTAAAAGGGCACATAGAAATGTTTGTGGGTTTTTTTAGAGGAGTTTGGAGGAGACACATTTCCATGTTCCCTAAATCAGCGGACATCCTGCTTACAGAAATGCTGGGCATTCCTTTGAGTGAGACCCCAAACTAATATTGAGACCTTGTTGTGGCTTCCTTGCTACCAGAGAATTAAGGAAAAATCTACCAAAGTCGTGTCTTAAACCGTGACTGCCTTGGTGTGGGAAGTAGGAATTTCTGTCCGTGGAGTAGGTTCTGAGACCTCGGCCTAAAACTCTTGCCAGAACAGCAAGGCCCACACCTACCTGTCTCCTAAGAGTTTCCTCCTTGGCTGGCATCTCCCTGTTCTCCATCCATAGACTAAAGGGCCAGAGGGCAGTTAGCAATGACACAGAGAGAACCTGGAGAAGATCCCTGAGCAACACCGAAAGGCAGAAATGGAAAAGACCTCACTGCACTTCAGACAACAGGCTTTGGTGGGAAAGAAAATGTAGGTGCCCGGCCGGCATGGCTCAGTGGTTAAGCATCGACCTATGAACCAGAAGGACACAGTTCGATTCCCAGTCAGGGCACATGCCCAGATTGCAGGCTCGATCCCCAGTGTGGGGTGTGCAGGAGGCAGCCAATCAATGATTCTCTCTCATCATTGATGTTTCTCTCTCTCTCCCTCTCCCTTCCTCTCTGACATAAATAAAAGTATATTTGAAAAAGAAAAAGAAAATGTAGGGTGTATTAGATTTTTAATCAAAAATTAAGGGTTGATGGGGGAGAGTGTCAAAATATTGGCCCTTCCCACCCAACTGTCATTCCTCATATTTGACTTCTTCCCTCTTTAAAAAAGTTGCCAAAGTTCATTGCCACCCGTAGTGAATGAGGTGGGGCCACTTGGGCATGACACTCAGATGACCCAGAGGAGGCCCAGCAGGACCAAGCACTGCTGCACTGGGACTGGCCGGTCTGACTTGGAAGCACATCCTGTGTCTTTCCAGATGATTTCCACAGTCCTGCTCATTCTTTCGACATTCCTTCATTCATATTCGCAGTGTCTTTTGCTTTATGGCGTGAATTTACAGATTCAAAGTTCCTATCACAAAGGTATATAGTTAGCATAATGCCACTCCAGGCTCATCTTGGATTGTTTATTCTGAGTAATTAAGCAACTTGAAAATTCCTGTGGAGCCCTAACTGGTTTGGCTCAGTGGATAGAGCATCAGCCTGCGGACTCAAGGGTCCCAGGTTCGATTCTAGTCAAGGGCATGTATCTTGGTTGTGGGCACATCCCCAGTGGGGGGCATGCAGGAGGAAGCTGATTGATGTTTCTCTCTCATCAATGTTTCTAGCTCTCTATCCGTCTCCCTTCCTCTCTAAAAAATCAATAAAATATTTTATTTAAAAAAATGCCTGTGGAATGTGCAGTTACTGCTGGTAAATGTACAGCTTTATTTTATGAAGAAAATAGTCTATGAAAACCGCATTCTTTTTACATTGACTAAAAGCAGAAACGTCATCGGTAGTAGTGATGCACTCATTGAGTTAATTCCCGTTCTCCTTCTCTTGCTCTGAAGGAAGCCATTAGGACTTACTTCCCTCTCCGTTTCCGCGGGGGCTGGCCAAACCACTTTTCTGTGTTGTTGGAAGGGACTCTTAACATTGCTTTCTAAAGCGAGATTGGAAAGGCTGCCTCTTGCATATTTGTACTTACCATGTTAATGTCACCAAAGTCCTTTAGTTTTCTCATAAAGACATCATCTGAAATACACATTTCCTGTAAAAAGAATAAATTGCTAACATCGATTTTTTTGTTGTTGAGATAATGGATTCTGTAGGCCCGTGTTCAGGAAAGCCCCGTAGAGGACTGTAATGAGTTGTTTGGCCCTAAAAGCTTTGAGTTATAAAAAGAACTGGTAGAATCTGTAATATGTATGCATAGCACATTATCGGGCTGGAACGGGAGCTCATATTAGTGTGTTATGCCATCGATCAGCTAAATGACATGACAAGCTTGCAGTCCTCACTCACAGGGATCTGATGCCAGCTAGCCGCTGATCTCTGCAGTGTTAGGCCCACAATGCCCACCTATGCCATCACCCGCAGCTGCCCAGGCAGGCGGCTGGCAGGCTACCCTCTGTGAACCAGCCTGCTGTGTAGGGGACCTTGACAAGGCCTCCTGCTTCCCGGCCTGGCTCCACCAAGGATCCTTCCTCATCCTCCCTGTACTTCAGAGCCTTGTCACTCCTAAATGGCGAAGGTTTTGGTTTTTGTCTTTGTTCCCAAGTAAGGGGTGGGGTGGAGGCAGGAGAGAGGAACCCCAGTGCAAACCAGAGGAAACAGAGAACTGGGCTGGTGGGAGATGCTAGACAGCAGCGTTTTTTGAAGGGTCAAATAGTAACTATTTTGGACTTTGGGGTCTGTTGCAACTACTCAGTTCTGCCATGGTGGCCCAGAAGCAGCTGTAGGTGAACGGGCTGTGTCCCAATTGACTTTCATTGCATGCAAATAGGCGGAGGGCCTTTGGCCGACTGGCCATGGTTTGCCAGCCTGTGCACACTACCAAGTAACAAGCCCGAGTAGCTGGCCCTGAGGGTGTCTGGAAGAGAATCCTTAGAGTTCTCTGAGCATCGAGCATTCTTTAGCAAATGTGTCATTTCCCAGAGGAACGGAGGGCAGCACCCATTGTGATGTTGAAAGTGGGTATCAAATACATCTTAGGTCTCACGTGTTTATTTCTTGGAAATTACCGACGAATGAAGAAAGCAGTGGTAGATGCTCAGCCTCTGTTATAAAGCAAAACCCAGCACCAATGACTAAGCTCGTAAGTGACCATTTTCCAGGGTACTGAGGAGGGAGGGGGAGCTCCGAGGCCAGGGGAAGGGGCCTGGCCTGGCCTCAGCCCGCTGCCCCAGCGCTGCCTGGCCGTGAGCCAGTTCGCAGCTTCAGAGAAGCCGAGTCAGACATGCTTGGCCATCGTCGGCGTAGAACCTGACATATTCGTTGGATTTTGACGATGAACTGTGATTTTAAATCCACGATGGAAATTCAGATGCCTATTGATCAGCCGTGTTACCGTCACATGTAAAATGCCATGGATGTTGCCCACCCGGATTTAACAGGTGGTTCCTGTCACCCCTGCCAGGTAGCTCCTGCTGCGGGACTGGTCTCCATATTGAAGAAGAGGAACGACGCGGTGGGCGACCACCCTGCCCCGATGCAGCAGAAGCCGCCCAAGCGCAGGGTGCGGTTCCAGGAGATGGACGATAACCTGGACCAGGGTGGGTACCGCTCGCCCTGTGGCTGACACGGGGGCCCTTCCCATGTTTGCCGAGAGTGAGTCAGTGCCGATGGAAGGTGACGGGATTTGTAAAAGGAAATGTGGGCACAGTTGTTTTAGCTTCTAGAGCAGCGGTTCTCAACCTGTGGGTCGCGACCCCTTTGGCGGTCGAACAACCCTTTCACGGGGGTCGCCTAAGACCATCGTGCGTATCAGATATTTACATGACGATTCATAACAGTAGCAGCATTACAGTGATGAAATAGCAACGAAAATAGTTTTATGGTTGGGGGTCACCACAACATGAGGAACTGTATTTAAAGGGCCAGCAGGTTGAGAACCGCTGTAGAAAGAAGCAGAGAACTGAGCTGTCATCGGTTCTGAAACGATTCCTAGGCACTGTGCTTGCTCAAATCAGCGAACAGGTTGCAAAATTCAACTCCTGGCCTCCCGACCCCACAGGCTGTGCTCGGTGTTCAGAGCTCATTTCCATTTCCGTGCTTAGGGTTGCGTTGGGTTTTAGTGAGACTGCTATTTCTGTCCGCTTTCAGCAGCAGTTAATTGTCCTGTCTCCTGTGTGTGGGAAACATTTATGGATTACAAGTGTATTCTCTTCGGTGATTTCTTGACTCCATAGAAGGAAGTGTCTCAAGGGCAGCAGTTTAACACTGTTGCTATAGTTGGACTTTCCTCCTGGGCCACAGGTAGTTGCTAGGGTTTCCCTAAGGCAAATAAGAGTGAGTGGAAAGATAGCCAAAAACCTGTGTGTATGCTTCTGTTTATAAAATAAGTGTGAGCATGTAGATATACTCGCTAAGTATGGCATAAAGTGATGGAGGTTTCTAGATTTCTACAATTACGAGCCTTGGAAATAATCTGTTCCCACCCCTCATTTTAGCTCTGCACCTTGCTCGTAACTCTCACTTTCTCCTCCAGATAAAATGCGTAATTCTTGTTTGCTCTCATGGGCCCTGAACGGTCCCGCTCACCAGAGGAACCCTGGGTTCAGAGCTCACAGTCCCGTTTCACTTAATGGCCCTCTCATCTTAGACCAGCAGCCACATGTGCCTCTACACAGTGTTTCAACACATAGATAAAGCAAATACATGTTTATAGATAAACTATTTATATGACTATGAAGGAAAATATGGAAAATACATAGATTATTAACATAAATAAGGTGATGGTAGGGATTCATGCCAAAAGAAGAAAAGATGGTAAAAATACTGACCTGACACAACACACACACACACAAGACTGACATCATCTGTATTTGTATAAAATGAATTTGCATATCTGCTATCTATATAAAACCCTAATATGCAAATCAACCAAATGGTAGAACAACCCATTGCTATGACGTGCACTGACCACCAGGGGCAGAGACTCAACACAGGAGCTGCCCCCAGCCCACAGGCCCCGACCAGCAGCCGCAGTGGGGGGCAGGGCTGGCAAGCAGGTGGTGCCAGGCTAGCCAAGGTGGGTGCCAGTGGGGACCCCCTGGTCACCCCCCCAGTCACCCTGCAAATCAGCCCCGATCGCCAGCCAGGCCTAGGGACCCTAGCCTTGCACGAATTTCATGCACTAGGCCTCTAGTATGCATATAAATTATTAAATCTATTTAACTACTAAAATCTATTAAACTATAAATTTGTAAATCACAGAACAATATAACATAATCCTATTTTTGTAAAAATCCTGAAAGCCTCTGTGTTTGATCTGGAAGGATACACACCAAAATCACCAGTGTTTGCCTCTGGGACAGGGGTGTGATTGGGTAAGAGAGAAAGGGAGGATCCCTTACACTCAGGTGTTTGAATTTTCTCAGGAATAATATATCCACATATGACTGTAAAATCCTCTCAAAGTAATATGCTAATGATGAGAAAACTCAGACAGTAATGAAAAGAGTATAAGTTCTTTTTTCATTGGTTTGCCCGGAATATTGAAAGAAGTTTCTTATTATCCTTTTGAGACACATTCTGGATATGCATCTGCAAATGTGCATACAGTATAGACCGGAGTGGGCAAACTTTTTGACTCAAGGCCACAATGGGTTCTTAAACTGGACCGGAGGGCCGGAACAAAAGCATGGATGGAGTGTTTGTGTGGACTAATATAAATTCAAAGTAAACATCATTACATAAAAGAGTACGGTCTTCTTTTTTTTTTTTAGTTTTATTCATTTCAGACGGGCCGGATCCGACCCATAGGCCGTAGTTTGCCCACGGCTGGTATAGACACACTGACACACACATCTTTTTTATTTTTTTTAGCACAAGTGAGTTCATTATGTACTATTATGTCACTTAATTTATCGATCTTGGACATCTTCCTGTGGAAGAACATATTAATTTACTTCATACAGTTGCATAATATTCCATTATATGAATGTCCCACACTTTAACTGCTTCATTGTAACTGAAACGATTAAGTCTCCTCAACTTTTTGCTGTTACAAACATGCCTGTAAATATGATACAGTGTGCTGTGCGGATTTGTAGGCTAATTCCTGGGGGTGATGTGCTGGGCTAAATGACCTGAGGCAGCCTGGTCTACACCTGTTGTCCCAGCATTGTCTTCAGTTAACATTCCTTTTCACTCTCAAAAGTGCCCCAATATGGCCCTAGCTGGTTTAGCTCAGTGGATAGAGCGTCAGCCTGTGGACTGAAGGGTCCCGGGTTCGATTCTGGTCAAGGGCACATGCCCCGGTTGTAGGCTCGATCCCCAGTAGGGGCCATGCAGGAGGCAGTCAATCAGTGATACTCTCTCATCAATGATATACCATCATGCTGATTATAAAACTTTTTAGTCCTTTCTATATATTTTTAAATTTTCCTTTAATAATGAATGATCATGAAGATGGCCTATAATTCCTCAATATAGAAAGACTGACGTGGGCATTTTCATTAAAATCAAACCTGCCAGCCTGGCCTGCATGGCTCAGTGGTTGAGCATGGACCCAGGAACCAAGAGGTCACTGTTCGATTTCCGGTCAGTGGGGATGTGCAGGAGGCAGCCAAACAATGATTCTCTCTCATCATTGATGTTTCTATTTCTCTCTCCCCTGTCCCTATCTGAAATCAATAAAAATATTTTTTAAACTGCCCGAGTTATTAAGCAAAATACAAAGAAATCGCTGTATTAGCTAGAACTTCACTATTCCACTAAACAATAAGAATGAAATGGAATATTAAGATGTGAGAGTGATCCCACCCAAAGTCGTGTTTTATTGTCTAGTGCAAAATTGATGTTGCTTTAAGGTGGTCCCATGATGCGAGCGCCAAGATACTGTAATCGTGAGGCTATAATGTGGATCTAAACAATGCTGTGAGCACATCAAAGCAGCACTGGCTTTCACTCTCCTTTTTTGTTCATGGGAGTGATCACATTCATGGTGCAGGGGAGCTGCTTTCACACCGGGCGTGGACAGGCTGCGGGAGCGTGGACAGGCCGCGGGAGCGTGGACAGGCTGCGGGAGCGTGGACAGGCACGGGAGCGTGTCCTGTGTGGCAACTAACCAGCAGGGCCCTGTAGAGCGGAGGCGCCTGGCTTGGCGTCCATGCCTCTGCCCTAGAGGACTATTAGGAACACCTGGTTCTCTCTCTTTTTTCAATATATTTTATTGATTTTTTACAGAGAGGAAGGGAGAGGGATAGAGAGTTAGAAACATTGATGAGAGAGAAACACCGATCAGCTGCCTCCTGCACACTCCCCACTCGGGATGTGCCCGCAACCAAGGTACATGCCCTTGACCGGAATCGAACTGGGACCCTTGAGTCCGCAGGCCGACGCTCTGTCCACTGAGCCACACCGGTTAGGGCCACACCTGGTTCTCTTAATCGGAGCAGGCCGTGGGCGCCGGATTTCCCGTTCGTGCCACTGAACCGCCCTCTGTTCTCCTGTTTGCAGATGAAGCTGGGAGCGGCTCCTGCATTTTACTGGTCTTGCTGTGCGTCGCCACGGTTCTGCTCAGCGTGGGGGGAACCGCCCTGTACTGCGCTCTTGGGGACCTGGAGTCGCCCGTGTGCACGGACTTCGCCCACAACGTGGACTTCTACTACACGAAGCTGCTGCGGGGCGTGGCGGAGCTGAAGCGCTGGGTCCGCCTCTCCTAGCGCAGCGGCGGCCCGAGGGGAACTCACTCTCCAGGAGGCTCTGATTTGGGGGGTTGTGTGCCCGCGCCCCGCCCCGTGAGGAGCCGCGGAGGTCAGCAACAGCAGCTTCAGCAGGCGGCCCAGGGGGACCGGCACCATCGCGCGGGGACCTGCGCGCCGTGGGGCGGGAATGGCCTGGCCGGCCGCCTCCGCGGGGCGCTGCGCTGCGTTAAACGGGAGTGTTGCGGCCACGTCCTTAGCTTCTTGTCAAGCTGACACTTAATGACACTTGGTTTCCACTAGTTGGTCCAAAGACGTCGCTTCCAGCCATCACGCAATAAGTGTGGGTGTGATCGAAAGGAGGTACCGATGTGTCCATGTCTTTTTTCAGTTGGCCTGGAGCGCTGTGTCCGTGAGGCTTTGCGCCTCATTGACACGTTCTGGTCTCCCTTTGTGGAATGGTTGGGTGCACATGCGTGTTTGCGTGGGTGCGTGCATGTGTTTCAGGTAATCATGAGCAAATACCCAACGCATAATAACAAAAAAAATGACCTTTATTCTTTTAACTTGACTATAGATGTGCAGGCACAAATCGTTAGAGCAGGTTTCACTGTGGAACCGAGGAGAGGTAGAGATGTTGGCCCTGGAAGGAGGAGCTGTGACAGATCTGCAGCAATTGATTAACAAGCCAGGAATTCATTACAGGCCTGGGGGTAACATTCAAGAGCTCCCCCTGAGTCTCAGGCGGGCCGTTTCAGCATGGATTCGAGGCCTCGTGGAGTATGATGAATGCTGGACTCAATTCTGCAAACACTTACTGAGCACCTATTAGGTGTGGAGTCTAAGAACTGAAATACAAAGAGAATGCGATACCAGTTCCTGCTCTAGAGGTTTCCATCCTGGCCTTGTGTTAAAAAGATACTTTGGCAAATGAAAGAAAATCACCACACAACTCAGTGTTAGCAGGTCATGCATTCAGAGGTTTGAACATGCATTCATGTCACAGTTAGTCCTTTTACGGGGTCATTAAGCAGAAAGTCAATCATGTCTTAAATAAGCCAATGTCTGAATTTTGTTTAAATCTGTCAGTTACGTGGCATTTCCTTTTCTGAGGTCTATCATTTACGAAGCCTTGCTGGGGCTTTTTATAACGTAGGCAGCATTTTAAAAGCATCAGAACATGAATTATAGTTTTTTAGCGAGTGATCATCACTTCATGTTTTTCTGTCAGAATCACGTGAAAGAAAAAGGGAGAAGTTACTTCCTACCCGTTACTGGCTGGTACAGTACCCCTTCATGTTCTGCTTATTTATTTAGATTATGTGAATTTTGAAGGGCTTTTTATATGTGTTGAAAGTGTGTTTTTGAGCATGCATTCGGTTTTCCCAATGTAGATATTTAATTACTGTGTACTTAGTATTTTGATTTCCTATAAATTCAGTGTCTCATGTTTTTAGGCTTGTTTCTTTTTAAATTGATGTTTGATTTTCACTCATAATACTGTTTGACTTGTCTCATGTCACCATAAACTAATATTTTCAAGGATTATAGATCAAAGATATTTATTTAGAAGTATACAAGATACTGAAATTTAGATTCCTTATACTTAAGGCTGATTTTATTAGAAGGTTATTTTAATGTTCTATTATAAATTTTAAGAATTTGTATTCAAACTGTATGTAAAATATGTAAATGTCAACGGTACTATGTTAGATGGTTCTATAAAAGACATTCACCAAGTCTGCCGTGAGGGGTGCCCCCGTCATGGACAGCCCTCTTCCGTTTCACCCTTTTGGTTCCTAGTTATGAGAATTTGATGAGTCTGATTTCTGATGGTTTTATGTGAAGATAAATCAAAACTTCCTCCTGCTCTCCCCTTTGAGTCGCTATGGAAGTCCTATGTACCCCGAGTGTCTCGTTTGCCTGGAGGCGCCAGGACCTCCACTCCACACCGAAAGTTTCCTGGAAACCTTGACGCTGAGCGGAGAGGACTGAGGTGACACCTGGGTCCTCGGCGGTCCAGTTGAATCTCAGAGGAACCAGGTGTGTCCTCACGCTTCCCGGGGAGGGTGAGGCGAGCTCAGGAGCTCAGTGTGGTGATGTCTTGACTTAAAATGGGCATGAAAATCGCGACTGGAACAAGTCGGGCACCGCTTAAAATGTGATAGTCATTCATTGCATGAAGTGGAGTAATCCCATCTGGTGGTGAAAGCATTGTGATCGCACAGGTGAAAAATTCATCCAGCTTTACCCTGATGTTATCTTTCCTGCCATGTGAAAGTTCCGACAACTGCTTGTAACTACTCTTCCTTCAGAACTGTATTGGAGGGTGACCGGTCAAGCTTGTAATTTAAAATCTTCACCAACAAAGTGTCTCAGAGTGTTTCTTTGGGTCTGGGGGTGCTGGGAAACACTGCTTCAAAGTAAAATCCTTCAGAAGTTGGCCTGGCCCCACAGGAGATAGCGGTCTGTTTCGGGAAGTCCAGTAGGTCCCCTCCTAAGGGCTCCTGCTCTCAAAGGCCCTCCCGATCTGCCTGGCATGGTAGCTCTAGAAATCCATTCCTTTTCAAATAAATAAATAAGTAACTGTATATTTAAAAATCCAAGTCCTCAGGAGATTTCCTTTACGCTGTATTACGCGGAGAGGACTTGAAGGGAGGATATGGGGGAAAGGGGTAGGAACCGAGAGGTAAAGAGAGAAGCTGGGACAGAACAAGCCCTTTAGCTATTAACCTGTTCGGCTAACGCTGGCTTTGTGGCATTACTCCCAGTCCATAGGGAGACTGAATTTTTGTCTTCCCATTCACGTGACATGTAATTATATTGGGGTTCATTTCTATTGGCTCGGTTAATGTTAACCCACCCTTGTGTCCTTCTTTCTGCAGCGTGATAGAGTTTTCATGTTTATTCCTCTGATGCTTAATCAGTGAGCACACAGTCCCTCCAGTCCAGGTCTTGTAACTCCAAAATCCAGTACTGGGCCCATTCTATCATGTTGCCTCATCCTCAGAAAGAGTTAGTGACCTGGGGTCTGTCTGGTACTGTCTGCTATTCTAACAACTTCAAAGAGAATTATTAGTGAGCCTCATGTCCTAGCTACAGAGCTGAAATCTTCCCTAAGGAATTCTAGTAAAAGGTAGACATCCCTGAGTTCAGGCACTGAGAGGAGAGGTGTGGGAGCCCGTGGCCATCTCTCCCCCTGGTTCTGAAGAGCGTTACCCCCTGACTCACAGGTTCATGAGGCAAGAACCCCTTCGTATGTTGAAGATGCATTTGACACTGCACTCCAGCAGCGCTTTTCAACCTTATTCACCTCATGGCACATAAAGTAATTACTAAAATTCGGCAGCACACCAAAAAGCATATTTCTTGACAATCTGACACAAAAAAAGGTATAATTTTTATTGATTTACAAAAATACATATAATAATAGTAATTACCCTTTTTGCTCCAAAGTGGCTTTTTTAAAAAGCTGGTGCCTCTACTTGTATAGAAGGATTTCTGGTACCAAGAATTAACCAGTCAGACGTAGCCTTATTATGTGATGTGTCCAATAAGATTCAACTCTTATTAAATGATCTATATATTTATGGTTCAATGCAAGGCATTCACACCTGGGCTGCTGTCATTTTTTTGTTTGACAATCTAATGGAACAGAGTCGGTGCCCTGGCTGAAGAGTGAGGCATTGCATGTGTTAAAAACTGGCTCCTGGTTGCAAAGCGCTGCACTGGGGTATCAGCTGTTTACCCTGGGGATTGTGTGACTGACAGGAGCTGTGGCTGGCCGCCGCTGCCCAGCACCAGGAGGGAGTATCGTAGGGAGGGCATATCACTAACCCGAGAAAAGATCAAATTCAAAATCTGAAGTACAGTTTCTCCTGAACGGGTGTCACTTTCACACCATCATAAAGTCAAAAACATCTAAATCCAACCATCATAAGTTGGAGACCGTCTGTATATAATACCAAAGAATTACAAGAACGCTACCAAAGCTAATAAATGAATTCAGTGAGGTTGTAGGGTACAAGATCAACACCCGAAAATCAGTTGTGTTTCTAAACAGCAACTAACATTCTGGAAGGGAAATAGAGGCAATTTCATTCACAACAGAATCTCAAAGAATAAATTTAACCAAGGAGAAGACTTGGACACTGAAAACTACAGAAATTGCTGAGAGAAATTAAAGAGTATCTAAATGAACGGAAACCTATCCTGTGGTTATGGACAGGAAGACAATACACAGTGGGGCAAAAGTGGGTTAACAGTCACGAGTACTCAAAACACAAGCCTTTGTTCTTATATTATTTTTCATTAGTTATTGTCTTATTTTCCATGTGAACAATTGTAAACCTACTCGTCTCGCCCTGTATTGTTAAAATGTCAGTACTCCTCGGAGATCTCTAGATTCAAGCAGTCCCTATCAAAATCCCAACACCCTTTTTTTATTTCTACAGAAATGAAAAAACTGATTATCAAATTTATATGGCATTGCAAGGGGACCCAAATAGCCAAAATAGTCTTGGGGGGGCGGGGGGCGGGGAAGCCACATATGGAGGACTTACATTTCTCCATCTCAAACCTTACTACAAAGCTACAGTAATCAAAACAGTATGACACTAACATCAAGATAGACATATAGACCAAAGGGATAGAATTGAGAGTCCACAGTTAAGCTCATTGTCTTCGGCTGGTTGATTTTTGATGAGGGTGCAAAAGAATGAAATTGGACCCCTGCCTCATACCATATACAAAAATTAATGCACAATGGATGGATGAGCCTGGCTGCTGTGGCCTACTGCTTGAGCATCGACCTATGAACCAGGAGGCCACGGTTCAATTCCCAGTCAGGCCACATGCCTGGTTGCAGGCTGGATCCCCAGTGTGGGGCATGCAGGAAGCAGCCAATCAATGATTCTCTCTCATCATTGATGTTTCTATCTCTCCCACTCCCTTCCTCTCTGAAATCAATAAAAATAAATATTTTTTAAATGGATGAATGACTACCCTGGCTGGTGGCTCAGTGGCTAGAGCATCGGCCTGTGAACTACAGGGTCTTGAGCTCGATTCCCAGGCAAGGTATGTACCTGGGTTTTGATTTGCTCCCCAGTCCCAGTTGGGGCACGTGGGGCAACCAGTCGATGTCTCTCTCACATCGATGTTTCTGTCTCTAACGCTCCCCCTACCTCCTTCCCATCCCTCTGAAAAAGCAATAGGAAAAAAAAATATCTTCAGGTGAGGATTAACGAAAAAAATTATTTTAAATAATTTTTTTTAAGTATGAACTACAGTAAACCCATAAAACTCTTAGAAAACATAACGGTAAATCTTCATGACTATGCATTTGGCAATAGATTCTTAGATAGGACACGAAAAACACAAGCCACAAAAGAAAAAAATAGGTAAATTGGGTTTCATCAAAACTTTTTAAAAATTTGGGTATCAAAGGAAACTATCAGGAAAATGAAAAGACAACTAATAGAATGGGAGAAAAATTTTGCAAATTAAACATCTGATAAGGCTTTAATATCCAGAATATGTAAAGAACTTCTAGAATTCAATAAAAAGAAAAACAACCCAATGCAAAAATGTGCAGGGGACTTGAATACACCTATCTCCAAGAAGATATGCAAAGTTTTGAAAATATAATATGGTGATAATTGCACAACATTATGAATGTACTTAATGCCACTGAATTGTACACTTAAAATGGTTAAAGTGGCAACTTTTATGTTACACATATTCCAGCACATACATCTACATCCATACAAAAAACTGACACTCCCAAGTGTTGGTGAGTCTGGGGAACAACCAAATTCCCATGGGCAACTAGTGAGACTGAAATGATACCAGCACTTTGGGAAACAGCTTGTCCGTTTCTTATAAATGTAACTGCCCACTTGCTGCGTGACCCAGCAATCCCCCACCCTGCTTTATCCATAGCAGCCAGGAAATGGAAACACCCCACTCCCTTCCTTATCACCATAGAAGCCTATTTAACAGTAAAAAAGAACAAACTATGGATACACAAGTGACATAAATGAATCTCAAAATAATCATTCTCAGTGAAAGAAACCAGGAAGAAAGAGTACATAATGTATGTTTCCATTGATAAAAAACGTTAGAAAATGTCAACCCATTCATAGTGACAGAAACAGATCCGTGGTCCCCTGAGCAGCAAAGGATGGTGGGAAGATGGTCATGGGTGACTTTTGGCATTGATGGAAATGTATCTTGCATGCAGTCATATTTCATGGGTAGACGCAGCTTTCAAAATGCATTGAGTTGGGCACTTTAGATAAATGCAGCTGTATACATAAATGATACCTCAATAAAATTGTTGTTTTTAAAAAGTAAGTTCAGCCCTGGCCAGTTTGGCTCAGTGGATAGAGTGTCGGCCTGCAAACTGAAAGGTCCCAGGTTTGATTCTGGTCAAGGGCACATGCCCAGGCTGTGGGCTCAATCCCCAGTGGGGGACTTACAGGAGGCAGCCGATCCATGATTCTCTCTCATCATGGATATTTCTATCCTTCCCTCTTCCTTCCTTCCTGAAATCAATAAAAATAAAATAAATAAAACAGTTTTATATATGAGACAAAAGCTGACAGAATTGAAAGGAGAAATAGACAAATTCACTCTTGTAGTTGGAGACTTGATAAATGTAATTGAAAGATCAAGCAGGCATAAAATCAATAAGAATATATTTGACTTGAGCAGCACAATCATCAAATTTGATCTAATTCACATTTATAAAATACACCATCCAAAAACAACAGAATTCACAGTTTTATGGAGCTCATATGGGACAATCACTAAGATAGACCACATTCTGGGCCCTAAAGCACACCTTAAAATGTAAAATAATAGAAATTATCAAAACATATTCTCAGACTACAAAATAATTGAACTAAAAGTCAATGAGAGAAAGATATCTAGACAATGGTCAAGTATCTGAAAATTAAAGAATACACTTCTAAACTAAGCACTGGTTAAGGAA